TTGCTGTTGGATGAAGTATTTGACAAATGTCAATTAGCTCCAGTTGATTTATGGTGCTGTTCAGTTAAATTGTATTAACTGATTTTCTGCCTGCTGCATCTATCAATCAATGATTGGGGGATGTTTAAGTCTCTAACAGTAATAGTGGATTTGTCTTTCTCCTTGCAGGTGTATCAGTTTTTGCCTCATGTACTTTGATACTCTGTTGTTAGACACATGCACATTAAGGGTTGTTATGTCTCCTTGGAGAATTGGCATTTTTATCATTATGTAATTCCCTCTTTATCCCTGATAATTTTCCTTGCTCTGAAATCTGATTTGTTGGAAATTAATATAGTTACTCCAGCTTTCTTTGGGTTAATGTTAGCATGGTATACCTTTCTTCATCCTTTTATTTGTAATCTATTTGTGTCTTAAATATCTACAGTGACTTTCTTGTAGACAATATATAGTTCGGTCTTGTTTTTTTAACCACTCCGATAGTCTGTCTTTTAATTGGTATAATTTAGAACCATTCACACTTACAGTGATTATTGATATAGTTGAATTAATATCTACCATGTTTGGAGCAATAAGCAACATCATGATAAATGGAAAAAATATTGAAGTTGTCAAGGATTTCATTTTACTTGGATCCACAGTCAACGCCCAGGGAAGCAGCAGTCAAAAAATCAAATGATGTATTGCACTGGGCAAATCTTCTGCAAAAGACCTCTTTAAAGTGTTACAAAAAGCAAAGATGTCACTTTGAGGATTAAGGTGCGCCTGGCCCAAGCCATGATATTTTCAGTCACCTCATATGCACTCAAAAGCTGGACAATGAATAAGGAAGACTGAAGAAGAACTGACACCTTTAAATTATGGTGTTGGTGAAGAATACTGAATACACCATACACTGCCAGAAGAACAAACAAATCTGTTTTGGAAGAAGTACAGCCAGAATGCTCCTTAGAAGCAAGGATGGAGAGACTTTGTCTCACATACTTTGGACATGTTATCAGGAGGGACAAGTCCTTGGAGAAGGATATCATGCTTGGTAAAGTAGTATAGAGTCAGTGAAAACGATGAAGACCCTCAACAATATAGACACAGTGGCTGCAACAATGGGCCCGAGCATAACACTGATTGTGAGGATGGTGCAGGACTGGGCAATGTTTCATTCTGTTGTCGGTAGGGTCACTATGAGTCGGAACCAGCTCGTTGGCACCTAGGAGCATCATGTTTGTAACTATTTTCTATTTGTTGCCCTTGTTCTTTTTTCCTTTTTTTATTCTTCCCCTCATTTGTTGCCTTCTCTGGTTGTATGATTCTATTTCCTCTCCTTTCTTAGCATATAAATTACAGTGATTTTAAAGTGTTTTTATTGGTTGCCCTAGAGTTTGCAATATACATTTACAGTTAATATAAACTCACTTTTATATAACACTATATCACTTCACAGTTAGTACAGATACCTTATAACACAGTATTCCCCATTCCTTCCTCATGTCCCTTATAACATCGCTGTCCTGCATTTCACTTAACCATAAGCAATAATCATCCAATATATTACTGCTATTATTATTTTAAACAAACTGTTATCTGTTAGATCAGTTAAGAATAATAAAAATAACAGATTTTATTCTACCTTCATTTTATTTTGCTATTCCTTTCTTTGGAGCCCTGGTAGTGCAGTGGTTAAAGCTCTCAGCTGCTAACCAAGTAGTTTAGCCCACCAGATGCTCCACGGGAGAAAGATGTGGCAGTCTGCTTCCATACAGATTACAGCCTTGGAAACCCTAAGGGGCAGTTCTACCCTGTCTTATAGGGTTGCTATGAGTGGGAATTGACTCAGTGGCAACGGGTTTGGTTGGTTTGGTCTTCCTCTTTTTGTGTACATCCAACTTTCTAACCTTTATCATTCTGAAGAACTACTTTTAACATTTCTTGCAAGGTAGGTCTAGTGGTGACAAATTCTTTCAACTTTTGTTTGTCTGAAAAAGTTTTATTTCTCCTTCACTTTGGAAGGATAATTTAGCTGAGTACAGAATTCTAGATTAGTGGGATATGTTTTCCCCCAACACTTACTCCACTTGTCCTGCTTGTATGGATTTTGACATGAAATCTGGTGTAATTTTTACCCTTGTTCCTTCATAGATAAGATGTTTTTCCTCTCTGGCTGTTTTCAAGATTTTCTCTTTGTCTTTGATTTTCTACAGTTTGAATATGATATACCTGGGTGTAGTTTTTTTAATTTTTTTTTTTTTAATCCTTTTGGTGTTCTCTGGTCTCCCTGAATCTGTAGTTTTATGTCTGTTGCCAATTTTGGAAAATTCTCAGCTGTTATTACTTCAAATATTTCTTCTATTTCTTTCTTTCTTCTCCTTCTTGTATTCCCATTATGTGTATGTTACACTTTTTATAATTGTTTCACAGTTTTTGGATAGTCTGTTCTGTTTTTTTCTATCTATTTACTTTTCACTTTTGAAAGTTTCTACTGACATCATGTTTAAGTCTGCTGATTCTTTCCTCTGCCATATCCGGTCATTCTTCATTTCTGTTACAGTTTTTTGATTTCTCACATTTCCTTTCAAATTTTTTATTAGATTATATATGTTCTTGGATGTTGTCCACTTTTGCCTTTAGTGCCCTTACTAAATCTGTTCCTTCGAGTTGATTCTGACTCATAGCAACCCTATAGGACAGAGCAGAACTGCCCCTTAGGGTTTCCGAGGAGCAACTGGTAGATTTGAACTGCCTCCTTTTTGGTTAGTAGCCAAGCTCTTAACCACTGCACCACCAGGGCTCCTGTTAAAATCATAGTTATTTTAAATGTATCGTCTGATAATTCTAACATTTCTGCCATATCTGAATCTGCTTCTGATGGTTCCCCTGACTCTTTAGGCTGTTTTTTTTTTTTTTTTTTTTTAAGCATTCCTTGTTATATTTTGTTGAAAGCCTAACATAATGTATTGGGTAAAAGGATCTGAGGTTCTTTCAGTTATAAAGTTCTGTTGATCTTGATATAGTGATAAGGGGTGTGTATGTGTGTGTAAGCAGTCTATAGTCTAGGTCTCAGTCTTTTAGAGAGCCTGTGCTCCTGAGTTGTGACTCTCACAAGTACTTCTTAGCTTTTTTTCTCCACCCCTTATGTGAAACAGGAAGGCTAGAGGAGTCTGAGGTTGGGTATTTCCTTTCCCCCACATCTAGTGTTAGGGGAAGCTATAGTTGAGTATTTCCATTCTCCTACTTTGAAGGCTAGATGGGGATAGAACTGAGTGATTCACCTTCTCAGAGTTGGTTAGGCTCTAATAGAACTCAACTTGTATAGGCTTAAGTAGAGCAATTTCCCTTGAGGGCAAGCTGTCGTCAAGGAGAACAGAGCATTATTTAAAAATGTTTATCTTTCTCCTCCCCCTCATAGAAGCATGAGAGAATTTTTCTCAAGCTTCACAGTGAAAACTTGGAGCTCCTGGATGTGAAACTCATGAAAGTATGGGGATCCCCAAAACTAGGCCCCCAGGAATTTTTCTCTCTCAAGCTAGTTCATACTCAGTCTTAAGCAATTAGTCAATCACCTTTTAAGTATTCCCACCCAAGACTGGGTCCAGCAATAGCAACAGTGGTGATCTCTGCTCCCAGTAACCAGTGATTCTCTGCATTTATCTGTTTGCCTCTCCAGCTTTCAGGGCAGCGATTTGCTCTGTGCTCTCAATTCTCTGATGGATCTAAGAAGAGTTGTTGATTTTCAGATATTCAGCTTTTTTCTTATTGTGAGGATAGGAAGGATTACTTCCATCCTCCTTACATGATGGATCAGAACCTGGAAGTCCCAACTGGTTGGTTTTTAATTGAAGGTGTGGGAAATCAAAAGCTCTGTTTTGGACATAGGAAGTTTAGACATTCATCCAAGTACAGATTTCAGATAAACAGTTAACATAAGTCTGGTGCTTAGGTCTAGGGAGGAGATAAGATGAGACACTTAGGGAGAAAATATATATAGAAGCCATTTGGGGTTAAAAAAATGAGATTTTATTTTTTGTTATATAGATGTTTGTCTTTATTCACCATCAGTGGGTATGTTGTTGTTGTTGTTGTTTTGGTTGCCGTCAAGTTGATGCCGACTCATGGCTACTCGATGTGTGCAGAGTAGAACTGCTGCATAGAGTTTTCAAGGCTATGGCCTTACAGAAGCAGATCACCAGGTCTGTCTTCTGAGATACCTCTGGGAGGGTTTGAACTGCCAACCTTTTGACTAGTAGACAACTTCTTAACTGTTTGTGCCACCCAGGGACTGTAGATGTTAAATATGAACGGCATGGGTTTGAATCCCAACTCTTCTGCTTAAGTATTGTGTTTCTTAAACTGTTTTCACCTAATTTTCATTAAAAACTTAACCAAAATCTTCTTACCAGTGTGTATAGTACCCAGTGTCTGCTCCGGGTAAGCAGATGTCCATGTACCATCTCTCCTTGAAGGCACCTGTCTTTTCTGAAAGTTCAGGTTAGTTGGTGGCCTTCAAACCTCACCTCTCTGGTGGGTTTGAGAAAAGTTAAAATTGTAGATTATTCAGTTTCTTCTTGTTAGAGTGGGAACAATATTCTTTCCAGCTTTTTACATCTTAAGCAAAAGCACTGCTAGACTAGCCATAAGGAATTTGAGATGCCTATGAAACATCCATGTGTAGGCTTTCAATTGGCAATTCTCTAAATTAGGGGAAAGACACCCATTAAAGAAGATTGTGGCAGTATCAGCTTCGATATGGTAATTGAAACAAAGCAGGAGAGGATGAGATTTCTCAGGGGAAGTTTGTAGACCTACTGTGAAATTCTAAAACTCATACTATGCCTTCAAAGATTGTTTCCTTTTCACACTTTCATCCTCCTTACTCTTTATTTTTTTCCTCATGAGATTGATGATATGGTATTGTTTCTCTATGGATAATTGATAAGAGTGCTTGTTCTTCACAAGTGATAGTGATAGATATAAAGTTAGTATTTGTGTTTCCCCCTCCCCAACAGGCATTCCAAGTGCAGAACACTATCAAAGTAGCTGTAAAAAACTTGTCTTTGAATTTATTTGAGGGGCAGATAACTGTTCTTTTAGGACAGAATGGGGCAGGAAAGTCTACTACTCTGTCCATTCTCTCAGGTATGTGTGCAGCTCTGTTCAGAGGGTGAACCATGGGTTTCCTCACATGTGGATGAAGCTATGAGACATTTGTGTACCCTCTTGATATTGACAGTTCAGTTATTACAGTGATACATAGAGTTATTTAACAATCTACTTTCTTTTAAGTTGCAAGTAATTTCTATAGTATAAAAATTTAAAACTATCTTTGGGGGGGACAAAGAGGACATTGCATAATGATAAAAAGGTCAATCCAACAAGAAGACATAGCAATTCTAAATATGCATGCATTAAACAACAGAACATCAAAATATCCAAAGCAGAAATGAATATATATTAAGAAATTATGCAAGTCCACAATTATAGTTGGAAAATTCAGCACCACTATTTCAGCAATTTATAGAACTATTAGACAGAAAATAAGTAAGCATACAGAACTTAACAACACTATCAACTAACAGTGTCTAGTAGACATTTATAGAAAACTCCTGCAAACAACAGCAGAATACAAATTATTTTCATCCACCCATGGAACATTCACCAAGATAGAGCATATCCTAGGCCACCCCCAGGAAGAAATGAGAAGTTTTTCAGACAGAAGGGAAATGATTCCAGACTGAAAATCAGATCAGTAGGAAGAAACGAAGAATACCAGAAATGGTAAAATGTGGGTAAATATAAAAAATTTTTAAAAGTTTTATTTACTAAAATTTCTTTAGAATATAATTAAATGTTTAAGCAAAAATAGTAACAGAGTTCCTCTTTTGGAATGTCAATGTGAAGAGATATGCAAACTCACATTCCAGTGAAACAACCAAAGCTGGCAAAAACTACAAAAATAAAAAAACCCAAAACACACACACAACCATTTTAAGTATCTGGAAATTGTACTAAGAACATACAGCAAATGAAGAAAAATTTATTCTAGTAAATCTACTGAAACTCAATAAGACATCAGGAGTCTGTGACATTTGAGCCATGTCTTGCTCTCCCTCTTCCCAACTCAGTTGATGGAAACTCCACTCAAGGTGGGTACGACCAAGAAGACAGGACTCCCTTTCCTCTCAGCTCCCAATCAAGGGTGACCTTATTTCACTGGGAGAGGAAGGCTGCTAGCATTTCACATCTCCTCCAACTCCAAGGTGGGGAGGCTAAACTCCTGGTGAGTATAGCCAACAGATTGGTGGCTCCATTCCTCCCCCTAGCACCTATCCATAATACAGAGGTTCTGCCCTGTACAGTAGGGTGACAGTACTGGATCCCTGATTGTTCTTATCCCAGATTGCTCATAGGGCAGAGAGTCCACACCAGGAAAGGCAAGCCAAGAAGGCCAGAGGCTACTGCCCTACCCAGCACCCAGTGCAGTCATTAAGAGATTTGCCCAGAAAGAGAGGCAGTCCATAAGAAAAGATAGCTCCAAAGCTCTCCCCAAAGGAACTGACTTTATTTCAAACAGAGTGTGGTGAAGGTCAAGCCTAAGAGCAAACTTGAAAGAAATAGCTCCTCTTAATTCAGAACAATAAGCTAAATCATAGGTCAGCTAGTTCATCAGAGAGAACTAGGGAAAGAAAGTTAAGAAGAGCAAACAGACCTCAAACACTGGCCTCAAAAACAGCCCCTGCTGAATTTAATTGGATCAAACTGTGGGGCAATTTGTGACCCAGGGCACTGTAAAAAAAACAATAGAGCTATCAGTCAATAATAAGTAGAGGCTGTCTAATTTTGTGTAATGCTAAATGAGGCATGGGGATTAACAGACAGATCAGGAAAAGAAACAGTCAAAGATAACCTTGCTAAAGCCACTGCCATTTTACAATGTGCACATGCATAAGGCTGTGCCTTCTGAATAGTGACAACAAAGGCTTCACATTGCAGGAGAATTAGAATTCACTAAAATAGCCTATCCAAGTCACAAAACAAATAAACAAGCAAATGACAATAAAAATAACCCCTAGAGAGGAGAAAGAGGAATAAATATCCAGAGTTGCTAAAATGCATTGAAAAACATCTAGTTTATAACAAAAATTATGAGAAATGAAAAGAAACAGGAAAGCGTGACCCATATACAGGAAAAACAGCAGACAGCAGAAACTTCCTGTGAAAGGGACCAGATGTCAGATAACAAAGACATTAAAGTATCCATTATAATATGCTCAAAGAACTAAAGGAAACCATGATTAAAGAAACAAAGGAAGGTCTGAGATAGAAATTACTAAATAGAACCAACTAAGAATTTTGGAGTTGAAAAAGTACAGTAACAAAAAATGAAAAAATCATTAATTGGATTAGCAATAGACACAAACTGGCAAAAGAAAGAATAGTGAGTTTGAAGATAGATTGAAATTATTCAGTCCAAAGAACAGAGAGAAAAGAGAATGAACAAAAATGAACAGAGCTTTAGAGAAATGTGGGATACCTTTAAGTGCATCAATATGTGTAATGCTAGTGCCAGAAGGAGAGGAAGAAGAAAAAGGAGCAGAAAAAAAATTCTAAGAAAAAATGGTTGAAAACTTCCTAAACTTTCTGAAAAACATTAATCTACACATCTAAGAAGCTCAAGAAACTCCAAAATAGAATAAATGTAAAGAGATCTACCCCCATACACATCATAGTAAAAATTATGAAAGACAAAGACAGAGAAAATCTTGAGGACACCAAGAGAAGAGTGACTCATCACATAAAACGGAATCCCACTAAGATCAACAATTGGCTTCTCATCAGAAACAATGGAGGCCAGAGGCAATGAAATGACATGTTCAAAGTACTGAAAGAAAAAATTTGTCAGCCAAGAATCTTATATCCAGCAAAACTATCTTTCAGAAGTGAGGGTGGTAAAGGCATTTCCACATAAACAAAGACTGATAAAAATTCCTTGCTAGCAGACTTGCCTTACAAGAAATACTAAAGGAATTTCTTCATGCCAGAAGCGTGTGAAGCCAGATGGAAATTCAAATCCACAGCGGTGAGTGGAGAGAGGAAGACAGCACCAGTGAAGGCAATTATGTAATTACAAAAGTATAACTGCATACTTGTTTTTTCCTCTCTTAACTGATTTAAAAGCAATTATATAAAATGTATGTGCAATACTTTTATTGGAGAGCATACAGTATATAGAAAAGTAATGTATTTGAAAATAATAGTATAACCGAGATGAGTAGGAGCAAAATTGTAGTGGAGTAAGCAAATGACACTAAATGGTAACATGAACCCACAGGAACAAATGAGGAGAATCAGAAATGCAAATATAGCAAACTTTATAAATATATACTTGTTCTACTTTATTAGCTACTTTAATAGACATAAAATCCTATAAATAATATTTATAACATTTTATTGTTGTGTTGGTAACATATATAGATGTAATATGTATAAAAATACTAGCACAAAAAGGAAGAAGAGGCAATAGAGCTATATAGGAGTAATGATTCTGTTGCTCTATGGGATTAAGTTTACTCTGATAAGTTGTATATGATAAGCCCTAGAATAACTACTGAGAAAATGATTAAAAAATATATTGTTGTTGTTAGGTGCCATCAAGTAAGTTCTGACTCACAGTGACACTATGTACAAGAGAATGAAACACTGCCTTGTCCTGCACCATCCTCAGAATCATTGTTATGCTTGAGCCCATTGTTGCAGCCACTGTATCATTCCATTTTGTCCAGGGACTAGTCCCTCCTGATAACATGGCCTAAGTACACGAGATGAAGTTTCACCATCTTTGCTTCTAAGGAGCATTCTGGCTGTACTCCTTCCAAGACAGATTTGCTTGTTCTTCTGGTAGCCCATGGTATACCCTTTATTCTTCACCAACACCATGATTCAAATGCATCAATTCTTTTTTGGTCTTTCTTATTCATTGTCCAGCTTTTGCATGCATATGAGGTGACTGTCAATATCATGGCTTGGTCAGGTGCACCTTAGTCCTCAAAGTGACGTCTTTTCAACACTTTAGAGAGGTCTTTTGCAGCTGATTTGCCCAATGCAATATGTCATTTTATTTCTTGACTGCTGCTTCCATGGACGTTGATTGTACATCCAAGTAAAATGAAATCCTTGACAACTTCAATCTTTTCTCTGTTTATCATGATGTTGCTTATTGGTCCAGTTATGAGGATTTTTGTTTTCTTTATGTTGAGGTGTAATCCATACTGAAGGCTATAGCCTTTGATCCTCATCAGTAAGTGCTTCAAGTCCTCTTCACCTGCAGCAAGCAAGGTTGTGTCATCTGCATATCACAGGTTGTTAATGAGTCTTCCACCAATCCGGATGCCATATTCTTCTTCATACAGTCCAGCTTCTCAGATTATTTGCTCACCATACAGATTGAATAAGTATGGTGAAAGGATTCAACCCTGACGCACACCTTTCCTGATTCTAAACCATGCAGTATCCCCTTACTCTGTTCAAAAGACTCCCTCTTTGTCTATGTACAGGTTCCATATGAGCTCAATTAAGTGTTCAGGAATTCCCATTCTTCACAGTGTTATCCATAAGTCATTATAATCCACACAGTTGAATGCCTGTGTGGCATTAAAACACAGGTAAACATTTTTCTGGTATTCTCTGCTTTCAGCCAAGGTCCATCTGATATCAGCAATGATATCCCTGGTTCCACATCCTCTTCTGAATCTGGTTTGAATTTCTGGCAGTTCCCTGTCGACGTACTGCTGCAACTATTTTTAAATTTTCTTCAGCAAAAATTTTACTTGTGTGTGATATTAATCACATTGTTTGATAATTACTGCTTTATGTTGGATCACTTTTCTTTGGAATGGGCACAAATATAGATCTCTTCCAGCCTCTTGGCCAGGTTGCTGTCCTCCAAATTTCTTGGCATAGATGAGTGAGCACCTCCAGTGCTGCATCCATTTGTTGAAACATCTCAGTTGGTATTCTGTCAGTTCCTGGAGCTTTGTTTTTTTGCCAGTACCTTCAGTGAAGCTTGGACTTCTTCCTTCAGTACCATAGGTTCCTGATCATATGCTGCCTCCTGAAATGGTTGAACATTGACCAGTTCTTTTTGGTACAGTGACTGTGTATTTCCTCCATCTTCTTTTGATGCTTCTTGTGTCGTTCAATATTTTGCCCATAGAATCCTTCAGAATTGCAACTGGAGGCTTGAATGTTTTCTTCAGTTCTTTCAGCATGAGAGATGCCGAGCGTGTTCTTTCCTTTTGGTTTTCTAGCTCCAAGTCTTTGCACATGTCCTTATAATACTTTACTTTGTCTTCTCGAGCCATACTTTGAAATCTTGTGTTCAGCTCTTTTACTTCATCATTTCTTTCATTTGCTCTAGCCATTATGTGTTCAAGAGTGTTTCAGAGTCTCTTCTGACATCCGTTTTGGTCTTTTCTTTCTTTCCTGTCTTTTTGATGACCTCTTGCTTTCTTCATGTATGATGTCCTTGATGTCATCCCACAACTCATCTGGCATTCTCTCATTGGTGTTCAGTGCATCATATCTGTTCTTGAGATGGTCTAAATTCATATGGGATATACTCAACTTCATACTTTGGCTCTTGTGGACTTGTTTTAAATATATATACACATATATGTGTGTGTGTATATATATAGTGAAAAAATAATTGAATTAAATGTTACACTAGAAAATATCACTTAATGCAAAAGAAAGCAGTAAAGGAGTAATAGAGGAACAAAATAAACATAAAACATAGAACACAAAAAGTAAAATGGCACACATAAATCCAACCATAACAATAATTATAGTAAATTGTGAATGGGTTATATCAATCCAATCAAAAGGCAGAGATATTCGGACGAGATAAAGATAATATCTAACTCTATGCTGTCTACAAGAGATACATTTTAGATTCAAAGATACATATAGGATGAAAGTAAAAGAATGGGAAAAGATATATCATGCAAACAGCAACCATAAGAAAGCTGGAGTGACTGTACTGACATCAGACAAAATATACTTTAAACCATAAAATGTTACTAGAGATAAAAAGGAATATTTTATAATGATTAAAATATTAATCCATCAGGGTGTTATAACAATTGTAAACATACATGCACCTAACAACAAAGTCCCAAAATACATGCAACCAAAACTGGCAGAAGTGAAGGGAGAAATAGGCAGTTCAGCAATTACAACTGGAAACTTCATTACCCCACTTTCAATACTGAATAGAACAACTACACAAAAGATCAACAAATAAGCAGAAGACTTTAACAAAACTACACACAAACTAGTTCTAGCAGACATCTATAGAACACTTAATCAAACAACAGCAGAATACATATTCCTCTCAACTGCACATGGAACATTCTTCATTATAAACTATATAGTAAGCTATAAAATAACTCTTAATAAATTTAAAAGAATTGAGATAACAAAACAGATAGTCTCCAATCACAGTGGAGTGATAATTAGAAACTATCAACAGAAAGACAGTAAATTAAAAAATTTGTGAAAATTAAACAACATACCCTAAATAGACAATTATCAAAGAAGAAATCACAAGGCAAACTAATAATTTGAGATGAATGAAAATGAAGACACAACATCCCAAAACATATGAGATGCAGCTAAATCAGTGCTTAAAGGGGAATTTATAGCTGTAAGTACCTATATTAAAAAAGACGAAAGTTTTCAAATCAACAACCTAACCTTCCACCTTACAACACTGGGAAATGAAGAACAAACTAAGCCCAAAGCAAGCACAGAGGAAATAATATGATTAACATGGAAATTAATGAACTAGAAAATACAAAAACAACAGATAAAATTAATGAAACCAAAAGTTGGTTGTTTGAAAAGATCAATAAAGTTGACAAAACTTTAGCTAGACTGACCAAGAAAAATAGAGAAGAATCAAATTAACCAAAATCAGAAATGAAAGGACCATGACAGAAGCTGGAAGTCAAAAGGGGTGATTGAACAAACAGTATGATTTTAAAACAGCTAAAATTATAAGATTTTATTAAAAATGAAAACTCTCAAACCGATGTAAAATTTGATGGACTGCAGGACAATAGGGATAAAAGTGGGACATATGATCCTTCTAACTGTAAAAGACATCTTTGAACATATTACTCCCTTAAGAGGTGTTTTTAAAGTAGGATTAATTAGTTACAGAGTTTAAAGTGGTATTTTCCCATTAAACTTGACCAATAGCTACAACTATGGATAAGTGTTACATAAGTGTTTATAAATTATTTTGTTACTATGTGGTTATCTCCCCCAACTTGAATTTAAATTCTTCAAAGATAACATTTTTATTTTCTGAATTTTCAAAAGAGTCTACCGAAGTCTAGGACAGGGCCTAGCTTATAACATAGGGCCCAAGTGTTGTCAAATGGCTGATGGCAATGCTGTAATATTCTAATATAGCAAACTTTCATGTTATTACCCAAGTGATTTTTACTCATGCATACTCATGGAAAATTAGAACATACAGTTAAACAAACAGAAGAATACAAAAAAAATTTTTATCACTCAAAAGATAACCACTGATATTTTCCAAAAATTTTCTTCTGTGTGAGATATTGCTAATTTTTATGAGTAATTCATAAGTAGACTATGAAGTTGAGATGTTAATGAGTACTATGTTGTTGTGTTCCCTCATGAAAGCTAAACTATTTGTCTTCTGCTTAATTCCAGGTCTCTATCCTCCTACCAGTGGGGAGGCCTATATTAATGGATATGCCATCTCAAAGGACATGGTCCATATTAGAAAAAGCTTGGGCTTGTGTCCCCAGCAGGACCTGTTGTTTAATTACTTGACAGTATCAGAACACCTTTATTTCTATTGTGTGGTGAGCCAAAAATATGTTCCTTTTTCCAACTCTATTCATGTTCTTCAGGTAGATTACCAATTATCAATATTCTTTTTCTTATAAAAAAATTAGTTTTAAGGAATTCTCCTTTGGACGTAAAAGGAGGCAAGGGGAAAAGACACTATATAAATTATGTAAGAAAAGGGCTAGTGTAAAATGTTTCTAATGATAAAGTTAGAAGTACTACGTAAACTCTGGCTTCTCTTTCTAGATAAAAGGAATACCTCGAAAGAAACGTCGTACGGAAATTGACCATATGCTGTCTGCTTTTAACCTGCTAGAAAAGCGTGATGCATTTTCACAGTCACTGAGTGGAGGAATGAAGCGCAAACTCTCCATCATTATAGCACTTATAGGGGGCTCCAAGGTAAAAAAAAAAAAAAAAATCAGCTGACAAACCTGAGAGCCGATATGGATCTAATACTCTAGGAGGAACCTGCCAAGTGACGATCAGATATGGGTCTCATTTTCAATCCAGTTGGTGTAATATAGTCACAGGGTTGGCATTATTCCAGCATTCCTAATTAAGTTTAGTCTAAACTTACTATCTTAGTTGGACAAGTGACTGAAAAAGGAAAACCAGAGTAAACCCCATGACAGGTAAGATACTAGTGGCTCTAGTGGCATAGCGTATATTCACAGTGATCATGGAACTGTTCTTCTGGTCTTCAGGTGGTGATACTTGATGAGCCGACATCTGGCATGGACACAGTTTCAAGGAGAGCCACCTGGAATCTTCTTCAGCAGTATAAACAGGATCGTGTCATCTTACTGACCACCCACTACATGGATGAAGCTGACATCCTGGGTGACCGCATTGCCATCATGGTCAGGGGGACCGTGCAGTGCTGTGGCTCTTCAGTCTTCCTGAAACAAATATTTGGTCTCACTCTCTTTTATTATTTGTAGGATACTGATGCCTTAATAATATCCTTCTAACATGATTTTTATTCCTTTTCGTCTCTCTACACACAACTTCAGTGGCTTCCTCTGTCCTGTTAATTAGGGCACAACTATTCAAAGCTTTTAATTATTTTAATTACTCAAGCTATTTCTCACTGTTATGTTTATTGTATTACCTAAAGTTGTGCTTATTCCTCCCATCTGACTTCTACTGAAACTGTAATGTGTTTGAATGCAGTTGCACCTCCAATGAAATTAGACAGACAGGTAAATTGATGGATTATTCGCGGAATGTGGAATCCCTGGGTAACGCAAATGGTTAAGCACTCAGCTACAAGCTGAAAGATTGGTGGTTCAAACCCACCCAAAAGTGCCCAAGAAGACAGGCTTGGAGATCTGCATCTGAAAGGTCACAGCCTTGAAAACCCTAGGCAGCAGCTCCACTCTGCACACATGGGGTCCCGTGAGTCGGAATCGACTCAGTGGCAACTAACAACAACAGGGGGAATGTAGGAAACCAACTCCTTGTTTCTTGTCAAACCAGTATTAAATTGCTTCTGTATGAGAAAACCTTTTCTTCCAATCTGTCCTAAATAACTTCTTTAACTCTTAGGTTGTTATTCAAAATAACCTATGCATCAGTCTTCTTTGGCCCTCTAAATAAAATTTTAAATCCTCATCCCCAATATTTTATATTTCTTTCCATGCTCTTTTTTTCTTTAAGCAGTAGCACTATCTAATACTACATATAATTTACTCATTCACCTTATTTGTTATCAGTCTCCCTTCTCTAGAATATATGTTCTTATCAAAAAAGAATTTTTTATAATTAGAGTATAAGTTACTTATAGTATAAATGAATAGATCTTGCATGTTCAGTTCGAAAGGTTTTATGGTTGTATATACTCATTGGACTCCAAGCAAAATAGGATACAAAATATTTCCTTGACTCTAGAAATTTCTCTTGAACCTTTTTCCATCAGTCCCCACTCCTGCACCCCCAGAGGCAACCACTTTGATATTTTTTTAACCATACTCTAGTTTTGCCTGTTCTCGAATATCATATAAATGAATTATCCACCATATTTTTTCCCCTCAGCACAATGTTTTTGAGATGCATCTATAACTGTTGCATGTATCAGTATTGCATACATTTTTATTGATGAGTAGTATTCCATTGTATGAGTATGCCACAATTTCTTTATCCATTCTACTCTTTTTATTTTTTTAACTAATACCGACATGATTTTGTTGGAATATGGAATGTAAACAGATATTTCAAACAATCTAACCCTATAAAAATGTATGGTATTTAATAAATAAATTCTAATGTGTGATGTGGTGGTAGACATCTCCAGCTGTAGCCTAGGTGTGTGAAGGCCCCACAGCTATATATAGCAAGGCTCTGCAGCTGGTGTGAGGGAACTGACTACCTGCAAACCATGTTGCTGACAAGTCCCCAAAATGAAATCAGCCCTTTTTTTAAAAAAAACAAAATCTATCTTCCTTCGCTAATGTGCCCTGGTGACGCAGTGGTTAAAGAGCTCACCTGCTAACCAAAAGGTCAGCAGTTCTAATCTAGCAACTGCTCGTTGGAAACCCTATGGGGCAGTTCTGCCCTGTCCTGTAGGGTTGCTATGAGACCAGATTGACTTGACAGCAACAGGTTTGGTTTGGTGTTTTTTTTTTTTTTGCTAATGTGCAAGTTGGCACAATGGATTCAAAGCTTTAATACTTGCTCCAATAGCTCCATTTCTTCACTCTGGTTCCTTGTATATTCCTTTCCTTTCAGTTGCTTGGGGTATTGGGTGTCTACTCTTTTTTTTTTTGATGTTTAAAGTATTATTTGTAAATAATGTCTTTGTTATTTAAGCAGATATACTCTAATATATCAATATTATTCTAAAAGACTAGAGTTGTTGTTGTTAGGTGCCGTGGGGTCGGTTCCGACTCATAGCGACCCTGTGTACAACAGAACGAAACACTGCCCAGTCCTGTGCCATCTTCACAATTGTTGTTATGCTTGAGCCCACTGTTGTAGCCACTGTGTCAGTCCATCTTGTTGAGGGTCTTCCTCTTTTTCACTGACCCTCTACTTTAACAAGCATGATGTCCTTCTCCAGGGACTGGTACCTCCTGATTAACACGTCCAAAGTATGTGAGACGAAGTCTCACCATCCTTGCTTCTAAGGGGCGTTCTGGCTGTACTTCTTCCAAGACAGATTTGTTCATTCTTTTGGCAGTCCTTGGTATATTCAACATTCTTTGCCAACACCACAACTCAAAGGTGTCAATTCTTCAGTCTTCCTTATTCGTTGTCCAGTTTTCACATGCGTGTGAGGTGACTGAAAATACCATGGTTCGGTCAGGTACACCTGAGTCCTTAAAGTGACATCTTTGCTTTTTAACACTTTAAAGAGATCTTTTGCAGTAGATTTGCCTAAGGCAATGCGTCTGATTTCTTTACTGCTCCTTCCATGGATGTCGATTGTGGATCCAAGTAAAATGAAATCCTTGACAGCTTCAGTCTTTTCTCTGTTTATCATGATGTTGCTTATTGGTCCAGTTGTTTTCTTTATGTTGAGATGTAATCTGTACTGAAGGCTGTGATGTTTGATCTTCATCAGTAAATGCTTCAAGTCCTCTTCACTTTCAGCAAGCAAGATTGTGTCATCTGCATATCGCAGGTTGTTAATGAGTCCTCCTCCAGTCCTGATGCCCCGTTCTTCATATGGTCCAACTTCTCGGATTATTTGCTCAGCATACAGATTGAATAGGTATGGGGAAAGGATACAGCCCTGACACACACCTTTCCTGACTTTAAACACGCAGTATCCCCTTATTCTGTTCGAAGGACTGCCTCTTGATCTATGTACAGGTTCTTAATGAGCACAATTAAGTGTTCTGGGATTCCCATTCTTTGCAGTGTTATCCATTATTTGTTATGATCCACACAATTGAATGCCTTTGCATAGTCAATAAAACAGGTAATTATCTTTCTGGTATTCTCAGACTAGAGTAAACCAAAAACCAAACCCGTTGCTGTTGAGTCGATTCCAACTCATAGTTTCCCTATAGGACAGGGTAGAACTGCCCCATAGAGTAGAGTAGGAACAAGCAAATTAGTTTTATCTTCTCTTTGGTTTGTAACCCTTCATTATTTTTTCTCAAAAGTTTCCCTGTTTAAAAATAAAATAAAAGGAAGGGATAAGAGAGGAATATATATTTATGCAAGAATATAATTTCAGAGATTCCTGCTGAAGTCAGTGCAGAGCATGGAGTGATGACTGGCTTAAATGCCAAGTGCTTAAAAGGGATATAAAGGTGGCTTGACTGAGAGGAAGTTAGCTGAGAAACTACACTCAATATGTGGAACTTATTGTTGGTTACTAGCCAAATGCTGTATGCATCCATTCTGTTTCAGTCATGCTGTACATTAACTACCCTTTTTGGACTGTCCAGACCAAAAAGAAAAATTTATTTTAAAAGTAATGATTCATTTAGTATCTAACTGATTGAGACTGAAATATTAATTAGATAACTGCCTGGTGTGCGCTGCAAACTGTAATTTTTGTTAAGCAGCCTTAAAAAATAAATCCAGAGGCAAGAAGAGATCATCAAAAAAGAGCTACTTTATAGCAGTTTGACATATACATATATATATACATATACATATATATATGTACATACATAGTTCAGAGAAGGAAAAAGAAATCATGAAAGCTTCGAACTCAGTGTGAGGTTCTGCCAAAAATGATGATGCACCACAGGGGGGAAAACTAATAAGCCCAATGACAGGCTTTAAAGCAAAACAAATTATTATCTAGCCAAGGAATTTTCAAAGCAGTCTAGCCCCAAAAGCACCATTTTGCTTGTTTCATGCATTCCACAAACGTACTACCCCACATTAAAAACCAAACTCATTGTCATCAAGTTGATTCCAACTCATGGTGACCCCATGTGTCAGAGAGTAGAACTTTTCCATAGGGTTTTCTTGGCTGTAATTTGTTTTTTAAATAATTTGTCTTATTTTTGTTGTTGTTGAGAATATACACAGCAAAACATAACACCAATTCTACCATTTCTGCATGTACAATTCAGTGACATTGATTACATTCTTCAAGCTGTGCAACCATTTTCACCCTCTTCCTCTGAGTTGTTCCTCCCTCATTAACATAAACTCACTGCCCCCTAAGGTTCTTGTCTAATCTTTTGAGTTGCTGCTGTCACTTTGATCCCATATAGATTATTCTTAAAAGAGCATAATTCTCAAGGTAGACATTGTTTACTAGCTAAACTATTGGTCAATTTTAAGATAACTTCAGGGGATATTTTTGGTTTAAGTTTCAAGATTATTTCAGGGCAATAATTTCAGGGGTTCATTCAGCCTCCATGGCTCCAGATAATCGGATTCCATGAGAATTTTAAATTCTGTTCTACATTTACCCCCCTTTGATCAGGATTCTCCTATACAGTCTTTGATCAAAATGTTCAGTAATGGTAGCTGGGTACTGTCCAGTTCGTGTCTCATGGCAAAGGAGGCAGTTGTTCATGGAGGCAATTAGACACACATTCCATTTCCTCCCCCTATACTTGACTGTCCTTCTGTCTCTGTTGCTTCGGGTGAATAGAGACCAATTGTTGTGCCTTAGATGGCTGCTTGCAAGCTTTTAAAACCTCAGGTGCTATGCAACAAACTAGGAGGTAGAATAGAAGCACTAAATATGTTATTAAGCCAATTAACTAGTCCATTCTACTCTTGATGAATATTTAGGTTGTTTCTGGTTTTCAAATATCATGAATAAATGTGCTTATAAACATCTTCTTTGGGTAAAAAATTCTCTTTTATTTAACTGCCAAAAGGTTCTCCAAAATGTTTGTAATATTTTACAAGCTGACAGCAATGTTGGACAATTCTACTTGCTTCATGTCCACACAAAAGTTTTGGAGCTGTCTTTTGCATTTTAGCTGTGCTAAATTTTTAATTTACATTTCCCTGAAGAATAATTGTATTGAGTACCTTTTCCTGTATGAATTGGATATTCATGTAAATTCTTTTGTGAAGTGTCCGATCAAGTCTTTTGTTCATTATTAAAAGGTGGCGCTATGAGTCAGAATCGACTTGATGGCAACGGGTTTTTTTGGTTTGGTCTATCTTTTTTATTATTTGTAGGAGTTCTTTTTATATTCAGGATGTGAGTCTTTTGCCACATACATGTATTGTGAATATTTCTCTGAGTAGCTTCCGTATTCAGTTTTTATTTTACTAAAATTTTTCTCTAAATTTTATTGTGGCAAAATATATTTAACAATAAGTTTGCCATTTTAGTCATTCTAAGTATACAATTCAGTGACATTAATAACATTCACCATATTGTATTACCATCACCACTATTTCCAAAAAGTTTTTCATCATTCTAAGCAGAAACTAAATTCCCCTTAAAGCAATGTTTCCATTCTCTCTCCCCACCAGTCCCTATAAACCACTAATAAATTTTGCTCTCTATGTATTTATCTATTCTAGATAGTTCATATAGTGCGATCATACAATATTTGTTCTTTTGTGACTGACTTGTTTAACTCAGTATAAAGTTTTCGGGGTTCATTCATGTTGTAGCACTTATCAGAACTTTATTTCTCTTTATGACTGAATAATATTTCATTCCATGTGGTGTATACACCACATTTTGTTTATCTGTTCAGTTTTTAATGGGCACTTGTTTTGGCTATTGTGAATTATGCTTCAGTGTGTACAAGTATGTGTATGAGTCTCCAGTTTCAAATCTTTTGAGTATATACCTAAAAGTGGAATTTCTGGGTCATGTGGTAATTCTATGTTTAACTTTTTTGAGGAGGCTCCAAATTGTTCCTCAGTGGCTGCACCATTTTGCATTCCCACAAGCAGTGCATGAGGGTTTTAATTTCTCCATGTCCTTACCAGCACTTGGCTTTGGTTGCTTGTTGTCCAGTTTCTGAAAAGAGTTATTTCATATTTTTTCCAATGTTTTAGTTGTTTATGGTGGAAATACAAGTGAGGTCCTAGTAATACCGTGAGGGCCATAAGCCAAACTAACCTTCACTTATTAGAGATATTTTCAATGGATATGTAAGTTTTGTTTGACAGTTTTTTTTTTCTATGTTCGTTGATATTAGAGATGTCATTTTGCTGGCATCTGGCTTCTAATGTTTCTGATGAGAAATCATTTCATTCTTATCATTATCCCCCTAAATGTTGTGTCCTTTTTCCTCTGGCTACTTTTGAGATTTTTCTTTTTATTTTTTTGGTTGTTTTGAATTTCACTACGGCATACTTGAGCGTAGTTTTCTTTGCATTTAATCTGCTTGGCGTCGCTGAGCTTCCTAGGTACCTGGATTGATATTTTCCATACATTTAAAAAACCTACCAACCATTATCTCTTCAAATATCTCTTCTACCCCATTATCTATTTTCTGTTATTCTGGGACTTCTTACACATGTTAGCCTTTTTAAGTTGTCATATTTATCTTGGATTCTCTGTTCTTTTACATTCTGCTTTCTTTTTGTGTTTCAGTTTGGATAATTTGTAATGACTTATTTTCAAGTTCACTGATCCTTTCTTCTCTGCCTGGTCTTCTGTTAAGTCCATTGAATGAATTCTTCATCTGTGATACTGTATTTTTTTCCTAGCATTTTCATTTGGTTATTTTTATTATTATTATTAGTTTTCAGTTGTCAGCTGAAATTCCCCATTTGTTCACACCTTGTTTTCCTCTTTTTCCAGTAGATTCTTTAAAATATTTTTCATGACTATTTTAAAGTCTTCATATGATAATTTCTACATCTGGGCCATCTCCATGTCTGCTTCTGTTGATCTTTTCTTCATGTTTAAGGTTACATCTTCTTGCTTCTTTGCATGTTTTGTAATTTTTAAATGAATGACATTATAAAACAACAGTAGTGACTAAAGTAGTTACTATTTACCCTCAGAAAAGAGCATGTCCTGTTCTCTGTCAGGCCATTATTGTGGGAGACTAAGTCAATGTAATGTGTATTTGAACCAGTTTTGAAATGTGTTACAGCTTTATTGAGATTTTACTCGCTGCTGCCTTCAAATATTTTGGGGATGGGATTAGGATTTTACCCTTAGTAGAGCTTGGATCTGTGTATGTGTATGTTTGAGGCTGTGGAGCTCAGGCTGCTAACCAAGAGTTCAGCAGTTTGAATCCACTAGCTGCTGCTTGGAAACCCTATGAGGCAGTTCTACTCTGTCCTATAGGGTTGCTATGAGTCAGAATCGACTTGATGGCAACAGGTTTTTTTCTCATTTATAGTCCAGTTGCCAGGTTTTTTAATATGATAAGTCCTCTTTGCTCTCCATCCCCGCTGTCTGTTTTCTGCACCTTATGAGATCTCTCTCTCTTTCCTGCTGCCCTCTCCCAAGCCTTCAGAGGGCAATTGCAGTGTACTCAGTAAAGGACTGATGTGCCTCAGATGTTTTTTTCTCAGCGATTCTGCCGTGCCCTGAGCCTTCAGAATGCTACCTCAGTATTTTCCTCAAAGTTCTGGAGTGTCTCGGAGGTATTTTTTCTCAGCTACACAAAACCATTCCTAGTTTCTGGAAAATCAGTGCAATGCACTTAGTGAAGGTGCAGAGGATCTTAGAAGAATTCTCAGATCTCTGGAGTAAGGGATTATTATCTGATTTATTTACTCCCTGGCATATAATCAACCAAACCAAAAACCTGTTGCTGTCGAGTCGATTCTCACTCACAGCGACCGTATAGGACAGAAGAGAACTGCTTCATAGGGTTTCCAAGGAGCAGCTGGTGGATTTGAACAGTCAACCTTTTGGTTAGCAGCTGAATGCTTAACCACTGCACCACCAGGGCTCCGTGCCATATAATAGGCCCCCCCAAAATATATGTTTAATGAATATTAATCTTGTCCTCTCAGATTTCCATGTCAGTAGGGCAGGGGGCTAGATAACAGAGGCTTTTCATCCTATCTCTGCTTTATCTGGTTTTATAAACCAAATTGTTATCAGTCCCTAAGCATTAAGGAAATCATAAAAGGAGTATTTGTTAAGCTCCTTAGACTTATAACGAAATGATTTGTGATATGTGGTCTCACAAGAGTATGAGAAATATAAAATGTTTTATTTGTTCTTCTAAATGAATTTTCTCAGGTGTGGGATACCACATAGTCATGGTGAAGGAACCTCACTGTCAAGTTGAGGAAATCTCCCAATTGATTCATCATCATATACCAACAGCCACTTTGGAGAGCAATGTTGGAAGTGAATTATCATTTAGTCTACCCAAACAGTACACACACAGGTACCGATCCCCAGAATGCTAAATGGTTGATTTTTTAGGTAGCCAAAAATCTTTTTTTTTAAATTTTCTTGGTTTCTTCTAGCTTAGCAAGTAGAGTTTATTTAAGAAGTCAAGATTCCAGTCATAGCTGCCACTTGGACTAAAAAGTAGGATACCACGTAGAGATTATAGCTTCCTGGTGCTAACTGATGATAAGTTATGAGTAGAATACCAATTTTTTGCTTGTGAAGGGAAATATTAAGATAACGAGAGAAAAATGGCTTAAATGGCACATCTTGGAGTTAAGGGTGACAAGAACCTAGAGAAAACAGGCAGTTTGCACCAGTTAGCAAGTTACTCATCAAAGGGAACCACAAAAAATAGTAACTCTACCTGGATAGCCATCCTATAAAAGGGGAATAGAAACTAAGAGTACTCACCAGTGACTTTCAGAGAGTGTGATATTTTTATCTTCTTGCCATATACAAGCAAGAAGTTGCCTTGGTATTCCTTCAGATTCAAGCCAGTTTTCATATTTAAGAATACTATGAAGGACTTTAACTTCTCTTTTTCTAAGAAAAAGGATTCTAGATAGAATGAAGGGAATGATGCACAAAGGAAACCAGGAAATTAAAGAGTCTTAGGGAACTATAAAACAGAGGAATGTGTCGCAAAGGAGAAAGAGAAAGAAGAGGAACCGTATCATTTGAACTATATTTACTAAGTAAATCTGAAAGGTTTTGAGAAGCAGCGTCATGGGACAGCATGATCAGGCAGCTGAGTAGAAGCAAGACCCTAGTCATAAACTGGAGTGAAAAAATGAAAAACAGTGGTGAATTTGAAAGAAAAGAGGCTACCAGTGGAGATACACGGCAGTTGACTCATTCAGCAAAGGTGGAAGCTAGGTATTATGTTACTACCTTAGCACAGAGTGGTAGTTGTGATCCCTGTCTTCTTACTACTGCTTTGGACTTGGAAAAGAGAAACAGGAAGAAGCTCCAAGAGGTGAACAACTAACTGTAGATTTCTAGGCTATAATTCCAGGTATGGAATTATGGATTCAGTACAGAATAAGATGAAAATTATAAAGTTAGGGAAGAACATATTTTGTCAGAATGAAATTTTCTCAAATAGGGACAGTTTTAAACTGAGAAATGGGAGGAAGAAAAATTACAAGAAAAGAAATACCTATGGATCCAGTTATTTCAGATTATAATATGAAAAGAATGAAAGGATGGTTAAGTTCTTAGTGATTTCCATTCCAGCTACAATTTTGCTATCGAACAGTAATTGAGCATTTACTTTTTCCCAGACATTGTTTTAATATGTATTTATTTGCCTGAAAAAAATAGGGAAGAGAAAAAGAAATACTTTTAATTACATATACTTACATTTCAATTCATTGAATGTATCTCACAAGGAAAGTTACCTTGAAAATTTAAAACAACATTGTCCCTTTTTGTAGAACAATGTTGAGACTTGTTAGAATGAAACTTAAGTTTAGGGTATGGCAGTAGAATGATGACTCAGCATTCCAAAGGCATAGACATGTAGGAGAGGTATCACAGTACTGCTGTATATCAGGGAATATGCTCCTGCTCAACATCCATGAGCTAGAGGATGGAAACATGTTGGAAAACAGATGTGACAATAGAAGGAGAAATAAGTTATATAATCATTGTGTAAAATTCCTGCAACCTAATAGGAGGAAATACATAATATATTCCTGATACAGTGTTTAAGCAAGATAACACAGAAGAGGGGACTATTCAAGTGTGGGCTTCTAATACATGTCTTATTTACCTCAAAGCAGTTTGCCTAACAAGTTCTTTACTTCTCTTGCCATTAATTATACCTCCTAGAAAAAGGAGGAAATAGGAAAAAAATTGCTAAATCTAATTCTGATAATCAAGAAAATGTTGCTTGAAGGAAAAAAAAAGAAAGTCAGTTACCTAGGGGCAATTTACCATATTATGGTAAGCTTCATTCCAGCAAAGAAGGAATCTGGTAGATTCAGATATGTGTCAAAATTGAAAGGCATATAGAAAAGCAAGTTTCCATAAGAAGACTCTATGAAAGGAAAGATAAGAGTGTTTGGAAGCTGCAAAAAGGAGATTCTGATGACAAGATCCTAGAGATAAAGAAAATAGAGTAATAATAAACAAGATAATTCTGAGAGGGTAATACAGAATATCATCAGGAAGTTTAACACCCCAGTCTTTTATTCAGAGATAGCTTAAGGAGTAATAATGTCGTCATTCATTTTTCTTAGACTTTAAGGCATCTTGGCTCCTGAGCAGGGTTGGCTCCCGAGCAGCAAGCTTGGAAAGATATTTGAGAATTACAAAAACTTATTTGATAGAGCAAAAACAAAGCTAGTGTTTGAGATCAGGACTAGCAAGGTAACCAGGAAGAAATGGAAGGGAAATTAGAATGTGAACGTGACAGATACAGATAAAACCTTATGGAATGAGTTCTGCTTCGGCGGGGCCTCTTCGAAGTATCCTGATCCCTTTCCTCCAGTTTTGCCTCCACTTGTCTTGAAGGCGTGGAAACTTGAATTTAGAAACGGGCAATAAGAAAAGAAAAATCTAAAGTTACATCTTGATCAAGAATGTCAGGGAGAAGAAGCTTCAGTTCTGTCATCAAGGAAGCAGAACTCTGCAGCTCCTGTTTTAATTCAACCTTTGTGATTAAAGAGAATAATTTTGTATTTTAAAATGTAAGAGTAAACAAAAAGGAGGGAGAAATTTTCAGAGTGCTTTAAGCTCAAGTCTCCAAGCTAGGATGAAGTACGGATGAGCCTCTCAAGTCACTATAAAGTGATTACAGAGGATTAAATGTTAGTTAAAGTGAAATAACACTGTGACATGTGAGAGGAGAAAATAAAATATACTTTATGTTTTTACAAATGATGGCTCTTAAGCTTAGAAAGAGTAAATCAAATAGTTAAGATTAAATCAATAGTACATCACATGGAAAGGTCAAACCAAATAGTAATAGTGACAGAGGCTGGATTGGAAAGCTGGCCCATTTATTTCCAAAGCCCTATGCGCGTCCGTGTACATGATGTTAGAAAACTGGAGACTTGTGTGTGTGTGTGTGTGTGTGTGTGTGTGTGTGCTTTAAGTGAAAGTTTACAATTCAAGTCAGTTTCTCATATGAAAATTTATAGACACATTGCTATGTGACGGTAGTGGCTCTCCCTATACTGTGATAGCACACTCCTCCTTTCCACCTCAGATTTCCTGTGTCTGTTCAACCACCTCCTGACCCTGTCTGCCTTCTTATCTCACCTCTGGACAGGAGCTGCCCATTTAGTCTAATGTATCTACTTGAGCTAAGAAGCACACTCCTCACAAGTATCATTTTATGTCCCATAGTCCAGTCTAATCTTTGTCTGAAGAGTTGGCCTTGGGAATGGTTTCAGCTCTGGGCCAACAAAGAGTCCGGGGGCCATGTCTTTTGGGGTCCCTCCAGTCTCAGTCAAACCATTAAGTCTGGTTTTTTTTACTAGAATTTGAGTTCTGCACTCCACTTTTCTCCTGCTCCATCAGGGATTCTCTGTTTTGTTCCCTGTCAGGGCAGTCATTGGTGGTAGCTGGGCACCATCTAGTTCTTCTGGTCTCAGGCTGATGCAGTCTCTGGTTTATGTGGCCCTTTCTGTCTCTCGGGCTAATATTTTCCTTGTGTCTTTGGTGTTCTTCATTCTCCTTTACTCCACGTGGGTTGGGACCAATTGATGCATCTTAGATGGCCTCTTGCTAGCTTTTAAGACCCTAGAAGCCACTCACCAAAGTGGGATGCAGAACATTTTTTAAATAAACTTTGTTATGCCGGTTGACCTAGATGTCCCCTGAAACCATGGTCCCCAGACCCCCACCCCTGCTACTCTGTCCCTCAAAGTGTTTGGTTGTATTCAGGAAACTTCTCAGCTTTTGGTTTAGTCCAGTTGTGCTGACTTCCTCTGTAGTGTATGTTGTCCTTCCCTTCACCTAAGATAATTCTTGTCTACTCTCTAGTTAGTGAATACCCCTCTCCCTCCCTCCCCAACCTTGTAACCATCAAAGAATGGCAAACTGGAGAATTTTAAATGAAGCTAAGAAGTTAAGCTTCACACATTGACACCAGTGAGGTGAAGATTGATTCCGGGAAGAAAATTGGAATGAGAACTTAGAGGAGGAATCATTAAATCGGGGGAATCACACTTCAATCTTGTATAGAATTTCTTCCAGAAGTAGGCCCTAGGGAAATATCAGTCTCTTTTCATGAGGTTGGAAAAAGGGAAAAAAAAAATGATTCATGTAAAGATACTGAATTTTGGAAGAAAAGGACCCCTCTAAGAAATCATAAGAAATGCCTACTCTAAAAATTAACTTACTGCAACAATAAAAAGCTTGTTTTTTTTTTTTTTTAAATAAAAGGCTTTGAACCTTTCTGTTTTATATTCTCAATCAGATTAAAAAGGATACTAAATTTATACTAAGCAGTTGTGAAGAGGAAAAATCAGAGATAGAATTCCTGATTACCTAATAAAAAACTGACCAATTAATAATGGCAGAAAATAGAACTTATGAAAGAGAGGATTGTGTCAAGAATTTTTCCCAGAACTATGAGGAAGGAATAAAAGAGACCAATACATTACTACTACACACCCACCATAATGGCGTAACTAAAAAGGACTGACTATAGCCTTTGAACATGTTAAAACCACTTTGGAAAACATTTGGCTATTTCTACTAAGCTAAATATGTGCTTATCTTATGACTCAGCAGTTTCCCTTCTAGTATAGACCTAAGAGACACATGTCCATCAAAAGACATGTAAAAGAAAGTTTGTATTCATAGCCATTTTATTCATAATATCCCCAAACCAGAGACAACCCAAATGTCCATCACCAAGAGAATATTACTTAGTAATAAAGAAGAATGAAGGTACTTATATATGCAACAACATGAATGAATCTCAGACATTGTGTTGGGTGAAAAAGTACAGACTGTAGAATTCCATGTTCAAGAAAAGGCAAAACTATACTTATAGAACTGTAAAATAATTGTTACCACGTGTGTGTGTGTGTGTGTGTGTGTGTGTGTGTGTGTGTGTGTGAGCGAGCGCGCGCGCGCGGTGTGTGGTGCGTATAGTGGAGGAGGTCATTGACTGGGAAGAGTCATGAGTTATCTTCTGGGAGCTGGAAATGTTTTCTGTCTTATATTGATGAGGGTTATCCAGGTATGTACATATGTAAAAATTCACCTACAATTAGTGTATTTTATATATGTTAAACCTGTATAATCAAGAAAAAATCCAAATGAAAAAATATATGTGATGATGGAAGGAAGTACATCAAATGGTAACGGGTATGCTCAGGGTGATGGGATTTTTTTTTCTTTTACTTTTTATATATTTTTGTATTCCCTCCCCCCTCCCTGTTTTAGTTAATTACCCATTGCCATCAAGTTGATTCCTACTCAGCAACTCCATAGGACAGAGTTTGACTGTCCCAAGCTGGATTCAGAAGAGGACATGGAACAAGGGATATCACTGCTGACGTCAGATGGATCTTGGCTGAAAGCAGAGGATACCAGAAAGATGTTTATCTGTGTTTTATTGACTATGCAAAGACATTCGGTTGTATGGATCATAACAAATTATGGATAATATTGTGAAGAATGGGACTTGCAAAACACTTTATTGTGCTCATGCAGAACCTGTGCATAGACCAAGATATAGTCGTTCACACAGCACAAGGGAATAGTGCGTGGTCTAAAATCAGGAGGGTGTGCGTCAGGGTTGTATCTTTTCACTATACTTATTCAATTTGTATGCTGGGCAGATAATCCGAGAAACTGGACTATATGAAGAAGAATGCAGCGTCAGGACTGGAGGAAGACTCATTAACAACCTGCATTATACAGATGACACAACCTTGCTTGCTGAAAGTGAAGAGGACTTGAAGCACTTACTGATGAAAATCAAAGACTACAGCCTTCAGTATGGATTACATCTCAACATAAAACAAAAATCCTCACAACAGGACCAATAAGCTACATCATGATAAATGGGGAAAAGACTGAAGTTGTCAAGGATTTCATTTTACTGGGATCCACAGTCAACGCCCAGGGAAGTAGCAGTCAAGAAATAAAACGAATCGGGTGGAAAGGGGGAGTGTGCTGTCACCGTATGGGGAGAGCAATTAGAGTCGCATAACAACGTATGTATAAATTTTAGTATGGGAAAAAATAAAAAAAGGAAATAAAACAACACATTGCATTGGGCAAATCTGCTGCAAAAGACCTCTTTCAAAGTGTTAAAAAGCGAAGATGTCTCTTTCAGGACTAAGGTGCACCTGACCTAAGCCATGGTGTTTTCAGTTGCCTAATATGCATATGAAAGCTGGGCAATGAATAAGGAACACCAAAGAAGAATTGACACCTTTGAATTCTGGTGTTGGTGAAGAATATACTGGACTGCCAGAAGAACGACCAAATCTGTCTTGGAAGAAGTACAGCCAGAATACTCCTTGGAAGCAAGGATGGTGAGATTCTTTTTCTCACATACTTTGGACATGTTATCAGAAGGGATCAATCCCTGGAGAAGGATATCGTGCTTGGTCAGTGAAAAAGAGAAAGACCCTCAATGAGATGGATTGACACAGTGGCTACAACAATATGCTCAAGCATAATAACGATTTTGAGGATGGCATAGGACCGGGCAGTGTTTCATTCTGTTGTACACAGGGTTGCTATGAGTCGGAACCAACTCAGCGGCACCTAACAACAACAACAGCTAGGGTTATTAACATATAGAGAGTCTTTGGTATTCTTTTATTTTTATTTTTAGAGTCTTTGGTATTCTTATTAGAAGACTATAATCATGTGTATCCAAGAACTAAGTAGAGTGGGAAGCAGTTTGTTAGAGCAATTTGCTAGTTTCTTTCCCTGCATTTGTCCCACATTTCTGATTTATGGAAACTATAACAAGCATTGTGATGAAGAATGGTCCATATTTTTCCCACTGCTGAGGGGAAATTGGTTTGGAATAAAAAAAATGCACAAGTATAAAAATCATCTGGTTTGTGCTAGCTTTTACTCTTCCTCTCCATCTAGGTTTAAAGTTCTGTTTACTGATCTGGAAGAGAGACAGAAAGAGCTGGGCATTGCTAGCTTTGGTGCCTCTGTCACTACTATGGAAGAAGTCTTTCTTAGGTGAGTAATGGTGCATAGGGAAAAGAAAAACCTTGGAGGGCAAGGGCAATGTCTTAGTATCTTCTTCACTCACCAGATTTTCAGATTTCACAGGTTAGAAAATTTACGGGGAAGTGGCTCTGACGTAGCTTAAAAAAAATTATCCCCATCATTTCCTAAAAGAATGGATATTTTAATTTACTCAAAGTAGGAATTAGATGATAGTCTTTAAATTGAATGAGTTCAACTTAATGAAACACTCATTACATGGCCCTTTTCTCAGTTTACCTCAAACATCCAGTAGTCCTCTGGTGTTTGGAAACCACTGCTCTACCATAGTTATCATGTTGCCTCCATATAATGCCCCTGCCAGCCAATGAGAAAATCAGGTAGTCTTCGGAGCTGAAGGCTGTGACTCACATTAACTAAACAAAATATATTGGAGTAGTGTGGAAATAAAATAGTTTGTGCTTTTTTTTGACACAGAGTTAGTAATGCGGCAGATACAAAAGATATCCAAGCTATCCAGACTCCCTTCCAGATGATGAACAAAGTCATAAACAAGAACCAGAATGCGAATTCATCCACATATTCTGAGTCAATATCTTGTTCCATGTGTACTGAAGCCTCTACTGTTATGTATAATACCGAGGTAAGCACCTTCATTGATAAACCTGATGTATATTTGGTTGGGGCACAAGAGGTACATTTTATTTTAATACTTGAAGGAGCGTGTAGTTCTCGGTGATGGCAGACCTAACCATATGTGGAACAGTCTATTCTACACCTAATTAATTTCCTAATGCAGAAGTGATGGGTTCTAGATAAAGATATCAGCTGTTGCTCTCAACCACTGTTATCCCTCAGGGTTCTTTTTTTCTGTTTTAGAATTCATTTTTCAATTGGTAACCCATGAAGTTGTCAGTTCATTGAAACTGCAGTAAGGGTACTAAGTAAACCTGATTTTTAATAATCAAGAATGCCCAGTATTTTCAATATTTTATGTTTTTGCAGTGGGAATTTAATAGTTATCTTAGGGATGATTCTCAAATCAGTATGAAGCTCAGCATAAGTCTCTTGGAGTAGCTAAGAATTTATTTCCTTCTCCTTCTAAGTTATCTATTCTTCCTATAAATCACCCTGGTTTTCTTGACTACTGGGAGACTGGAATATGGGGTACATTTCTTTCGAGTGTCCCTGTGAATTCTCATACTGAGGGAAGGATGAACCAGCTGAGAAGCAGTAGGGTATTGTCGGAAGATTTGGAGTCAGAAAGAACTGAGCTAGAGTTTTTTTTCCAGTATTTGTTTGCTATGGAACTTTGGATTTTAGTAACACCTTAAAAAAAAGCCAAAAAATGAATTTCTACATGTATCAGATGCTTAAGAAATGTGATTTTCCTATGTGTGTACATTTCTAATTTTCCCTATTACCCTTTCACAAAAGATGCAGATGAAGGAAGATTTGGTAGGCCAGCTTAGAACAATTTCTGATCATTTAATTAGCATAATAGTATATTTAAAGTTAGTTACAATAGCCAAAAGGTATAAAGAACTCCATTTCCTGTTCTTTAGAGAGTACCAATCATATAGAAAAATTCTCCCTTTAAATTTAAACACTATTTCTTGTCCTTGTAAATATGAGTTTCATTCAGAGAACATTTCTTAATAAGAGTAAGGATATTTTCTCATTCTGAACCGGGTCATATATCTTGAAACCTGGCAATGAAATCTCTGTGTGTGTGTGTGTGTGTGTGTGTGTGTGTGTGTGTGTGTTTCATGTCCAAATTTTATGGGAAAATATCCTTTAGGAAATTTTTAAAAAAACAAAGATCACAAGAGAAATGGATGTGATTTTGTTCTTCTGGTCATAGATAGTACAACACTGTGAATAAAGAAAATCATCCTGTTGAGATTTTCAGTGTTTTATATAAAAATCCAGACCTTAAACATTTTATTTAATAACTTATAGTGGGGGTCAGTAAACTTTTTCTGCAAAGGGAAAGATAGTAAATACTTTAGGCCTTGTGAACCATATGGTCTCTGTCATAGTTGTTCAACTCTGCCATTGAGGCTTGCAGACAACATAGATAATACAGAAATGAATGGGCATACCTGTATCCCAATAAAACTTTGTTTACAAAAAGAAATCATAGTTTGTCAACCCCTCCCTTATACAAACAAAAGACTGACCATATTATCATTTTGGTTTATTATGCTTAGGTTCTATTCCAAATATTCATTTCTATAAATCTTATATGTCTTCTTTGATAAAATTTCAAAGCATTCATCTTAATGGAGTTCAACAGGAATGACCTGTTTAGGTCTATGACTATTGTAATGTTGTTTCTCTCTTCTTTCTTTAGTGGTCCCTCTACCAACAGCAGTTCCGAGCCATGTTTGTAAAGAAGGCAGTGTTCAGCTGGCGCAACCGGAAGCTAGTATTGCTACAGATACTGGGACTTCTGGGTGTCCTTACTTTTCTCTTAAAAGCTCAAGACTTTTCAAATAAGAATGATGAGATTGTCAGACAAATGAATTTGCGTCAGTATGGTCAAACTATTGTGCCTTTATCTATTTCTGGGAATTCTAATTTGACTGTGAATCTCTTAAAACACCTTGAGACTGTGCTAAAGTCTGAAGAACAAATACTTCAGAAGGTGCAAGGTAAGCCTCTTAAAAAAAAAAAAAAGACTGCTCTTGGATGAAGACTGTCTTAGTTACTGCTGCTATAACAGAAATACCATAAGTGGATGGCTTTAACAAAGAGAAATGTGTTCTCTCACAGTCTAGGAGGCTAGAAGTCTAAATTCAGGGTGTCAGCTCCAGGGGTAGGCTTTCTCTCTCTGTTGGCTCTGGGGGAAGGTCCTAGTCATCAATCCTTCTTGGTTGAGGAGCTTCTTAGCACAGGGACCCCAGGTCCAAAGCACCTGCTATTCTTCTGGCTCTTGTTTCTTGGTGGTATGAGGTCCCCTTGTCTCTCTGCTCACTTCTCTCTTTTATATCTCAAAAGAGATTGACTTAAAACACAACCTAATTTTGTAAATTGAGTCCTGCCTCATTAACATAATTGCTGCTAATCCCACCTTATTAACATCATAGAGGTAGGATTTACAACATGTAGGAAAATCATGTCAGATGACAAAATGGTGGACAATCACACAATACTGGGAATCATGGACTAGCCAAGTTGACACGTATTTTGGGGGTACACAGTTCAATCCATGACATTCATCATGGCTGAAAGTGGAAGTATTTATAGATCAGCTAGAGACAGAGGGGTGTAAATTGAGAGAGTCTATATCATGTTGTGTGTCTTTTCTCAGTGAAGTAGTAGAGGTTAGATTATAGAGTATGAAGTGAGGGGGCTTGGAATTTACTAATGGGATAGAGTGCTTGAGAAAAATGGAAATGTTTGAAGTACCACTTTTGGAAAATTGAAAGGGGTTAAATTATTTGGTTCTTCTTCCCCAACATATATTTTAAATGATTTGTATTGTGGATATACTGACCAGTATTGTTTCCTTATCCTAGGTGACCTACTGAATTACTTGATAAAAAGTAAAGACTGTATTCGCTTATGCATTGTTGCACTTTCCATTGAGGTGAAGACAGATGAAACAGTATTGACTGCTCTTTTCAACAACGAAGCATACCATTCACCATCTGCATCTCTGGCGCTGTTAGACAACATTCTCTTCATGTCACTGTCTGGCCCTCATGCTTCCTTAACAGTTTTCAATAAACCTCAGCCATACCCTGATGACTTCATTGGCAAGTATGTTACTCTCTTCATTAGTTAGTTTTACACTTTGAATGTATTTCTTCTGCCCCATCTAATTATATTCATATGATAAAAATAACTGTTGATAGAAATCTTTATTTTTTACTATGTTCATTTGCTGATATTTCCTTTTTTGTTCCTTCTTCTGTAGGAGTACAAATGGAGACCTTGTGGCCTTTTATGTGCATTTTGGAATGGCCCTTTTAATTAGTGGTTTTTGTCTCCTGACAGTGACTGAGAGAGTCACTAAGGCGAAGCACATCCAGTTTGTGAGTGGAATTTATGTCCTTATATACTGGTTTTCTGCTCTATTGTGGGATTTCATCATCTTCTTCATTTCCTGTTGCTTACTACTGGTGAGTGTTAGATAAAGTTTCTTGAGGGCTCATTTTTGTTCTGTATCCGTGGAATTTCACTATTCTTAACAGTGCCATAAACCTAACTCTGTCAGTAGCCATTTGCTCATCTTAGAAAACACATTGCAAAAGTCTCATGGTAGAAACTTTATCCTTCATATTCATTCCTTCTTTAGGAGAAAATAGCTTCTTTGCAGAAGCGGAAAGCCCTCTTATGGAATAGTTTCCTATTTATTTGCTCATCAATTTGTGGCGACCCCAAAAATTGCTCTAAAGGTGGAAGAACTCTTACTTTTTACCTATCTCATACTACCAAGTCTTGTCCAGCGTTGTAATATACTGAGTCTTCTAGCTATACTATGGCCAGCTTTTCTAGTTTCCCTTGAGTTCTATTAATTTATTTAAAAGTTTTATTTAACACCTGCTATCATCCAGATGCTCTCCTGGGATTCACTGTGTGGTTTGTGTATCTAAATTCTATCTCCTGGTCTACCTGTTGGTTCAACCAAAAGAGACATATGTGAGATCACTATTTTAAAGCTAAGCTAATACCCATGAATTCTCAATGCTAAACTTAATTGGAGGAAATGGATTGAAGAACACATCCTTGGCTGGAGAGCTACGTGAAATTTATTATTATTACTTACTCCCAAATCACACCTACCCAATTTTCATTAATGAGGAATTAGAACAAAGCATAAATATAAATGAATGCATACCATACCATTTTCTAGTGATATATGGCCCCATATGTATTCCAGAATCTGCCCAACTATGTTAGAAATTTCTTTTCTTTGAGGGGTATGTGTGTATTTTGGAGCGGGTAGAGGGATGAATATGAAAGGTATGGTGTACATAGAGGTGAAATCATGGGGTGGGGGAAGGGAGAAGTATCTTCCCTAATAATAGATATGAGGAATTTAAATATGAATAAGAATATGACTCATTGCCCAAGTAGTTCACTGCTTAGTAATGGATACAAACTAACCATGAAAATAAAATAATTACAACACAGTATGTTTATTCTTATCATAAAATTATGAAATACGATTTTCCAATCCAAATAATAAAATCGACCAGTAAAATTATTTCCTACTTAGCTCTTTTGTCCATCATCTCCTGAGTGTTCTTTCTTCCATTACTTTTTTTCCTTTTCTTCTTCTCCTTATTCCTTTTGTTCTTAAAAGTATTTGAGAGGACTTATTTAAATTCTGTGTATTGCATCATCAATATTATGTGAGTGTATTTGTATTTGTGCGTATGTTAATGTGTCTGCCTGTTTGATGTATGTATGTATATTTTTTGGAATGAAGAAAATAGAGCTGCAAGTTTGAGAGGCATCAGGAATTTCTCTCTCTGCACATCCTACATATTTCCAGACACAGCACTGTGGCCCAGGAACTTCATGATGGAAGTGGTAGGTTGTTGGTAGTAGTTTGGAGAGAAACTCTTTGGTACAGAGATCCCCAAGTTAGAATGAATTAACAGGAGTTCTATCTTTGCACATCTTCCATCTTGCCACATGTATCACTGTGGCGAGGAAGTTCCATCATCTTCTTCTACTCATAAATTACCAGCAGACCACTAAGATCATTATCCTTTTAAAAACTGTTGCCGTCGAGTTGATTCCGTCTCATAGCGACCCTGTAGGACAGAGTTATACTGCCCCGTAGTGTTCCTAAGGAGCAGTTGGTGGATTCGAACTGCTGACCTTTTGGTTAGCAGCTGTAGCTCTTAACCACTGCCCCACCAGGGCTCCACTATTGTTTTAGAGGGCCACTAATTTTATTTATTACCAAAGGCACTGGTGAGCAAATCAGCATCACTTCTGGCACTATTATTTTCCCTCCACCTTTCCCCACCAACTTCTGCAATACACAAACACATTGGGAGCATTGGCATCGATCATATGATTCCTGAATCTTAAAATAAGTTGTATTATTTTAGCTGCATTTCACAGGTTTGTTTCTGTCATATTCAAAATTTTTCCTGATTTAAAAAAATACATGTTAGAAGGCTATTGTTTAATTACTAAGCAGTTAAGGATGTTCTAGTTATCTTTATGACGTATAGCTTAATTTTATTGTGATCAGAAGATATACCACGAATGATTTAACTCATTTGAAAGTCATTAATGATTGTTTTAAGATCCAGGAATTGGTCAGTTTTGATGGATGCTTTATGAGAAATTAAAAATAATATGTATTCAGATATTGTTGGGGTTGTCATGTATGTCAGTTAGGTCAAAATATATGATCATTTCAATAGATGCAGAAGGAGCATTTGAAAAAAGTTAACATTAATGCTCACCCATGATAAAACATCTCTGAGCAAACTAGGAATAGAAGAGCATTTCCTCAACCTGATAAAGTACATCTATAAAAAATATAATTAACATTATGTACAAGGAATGCTGTGAAAAGTAGAATAAGAAATCCCACTTCTGATGCCAAATATGGAGTGGATAATAAATACCACGCCACATGCCAACTGAGCTGTGTGGAAATATCAGCTTCCCTTTTCTGTGCAGTTCTGACACCAGCTGCCCACACAGCACACTCTTTCTCTGCCTCAGGCCACTTGGATCTAGGTTAGCCTTCAGAATGCCAAATAGGCAGATGCCAGTCATAAGTTTGGGGAGTCCACATGTCACCCCAAACTTCTGACCTGCTGGCCACAGAGTTGGGGGTTCCCTCAACCCCCAAGGGTGCCAGCTGCAAGCTCGGGGTCTTTCCTAGGCTCCCTTACTTTTAGCTACTGACTCCCACTACCTCTTTGGGTTTGATAATTTGTAGGAACATCTCACAGAATTCATGGAAAGTACTATACTTACAACAACAGCTTTAATATAGCAAAAAAGGATACAAATGAAAAGACACATAGGATAAGGTGTGAGATGGTTTCCAATGCAGAGCTTCTATGTCCCAAGTGACTTGTTACTCTCCCACATGAATGGATGTCTTTCACCAACCAGGAAGCTCCTGTAGCTTCCATCTTCTGTGCTCTTATTGGCCAGTCTTGCATGATAGGCTAAATCATGCCTCCTAAGGTTGGTTGACATTGGGCCACCAGGTGGTCCTTCTGGTGAGTGGTCCTTCCATTCACTGGCCTCAGGTGTTGTCTGGTTCTCAGGAACCACGAAAAAAGGCCAAATTGCTTTCTGCAAGGTGATTCACTGCCTCACAAATGCATTATATCTAAGATCAGGGCAGGAACACGTGTCCATTTTCACACTTCTAATCATTGCACTGGAAGTGTAACAACTACAATAAAGGAATAAAAAGAAATTTTCAAACATAAATATTACAAAGAAAGAAACAAACTGTTTTCAGAAGGTATGATTGTATACATAAAACAATTATAAGAAATCTCCAAAGCAGTCTTCTAAAATTAATATGACTTAACAGGGTGCAAGGTATTAGGTCAATATACAAAAAATGTATATCTCTATAGACTAACAAATTTTTTAAAATAATACAGTAGCATCATAACTAATATACTTAAGAATGAACCTAATGAAAAATATGCCAAGTCTATACACTGAAACCTAACAACTTTGTTGAGAGATGTGTAAAACAACCTAAATAAGTGAAATGCTCAATATTTTTAAGATGTTCATTTTCTTTTAAGTGATCCATAGATTCTACACGATACCAATCACCCAGTCTTGTAGTTACCTAGTGCTTCTGTAACAAAAATACCACAAGTGTTCTTTAAAGGACAGAATTTTATTTTCTTACAATTCTGTAGGCTAGAAGTCTGACCTTAGGACATTGGCGTTAGAGTAAGGTCCTTGTTTGTCTCTTTCAGCTTCTAGTAGGTACTAGCAATCCTAGGTATTCCTGGGCTTGTAGATGCATCTGCCTACATCTTCACATGATATCTTCTCCATTTGCATATGTGTGTGTGTATCTGTTTTTCCTTTTTATAAGATACCACTCAGAAGGAGTCACAAACAGTGTCACATTTACATGTACAAGGATTAGAACTTCAGTATATCTTTTTGGGGGACTCAATCCATAACACCCAGCAAATCTATTTTTGTAGGAACTGAAAAACTGTTTCTAAAATTTACATAAGAATGTATCAGTCCTAGAGTAGTCAAAACAACTTTAAAGATGAAGAACGTAGTTGGAAGACTTAAATTTCAAGATTCACTGTAAAACCAAGTAATTAAGATAGTGTAGTGTTGACATAAAAATAGACAAAGAGATCAAAAGAATAGAACAAAGAGATATGAATATATATATTCAAATGGTTTTTCAACCAAAATACCAAGACAATTCAATGGGAAAAAGATATTTGCAACAAATGAGGCTGGAACAGCAGCTGTCATTTGGAAGAAATAGACATTGTTCTTTCACAAATCACACACATACATACAAATATGAATTGGATCATAGATCTAAACCTAAAAGATAAAATTATAAAGCCTCTCAAAGAAAACAGGAGAGTATATTTGCAACCTTTAGGTATGCAAAAATTTCTGAGAATGTAGAAACAAGTACTAGCCCCAATAGGAAAAAATGATAATTTGGACTTTATCAAAATTTTAAATGTCTGCTATTCGAAAGATGCCATTTAGAAAATAGTCAAACTGAAGACTAGGAGAAAATACCCACCATAAATATATATCTTAAAAATACATATATCTGTACTCATATCTAGAATCTATAAAGAACTCCTACACATCTCTAATAAAGAGAAGTAACCCAATTTTTTAAATGAGCTAGAGACTTAAACAGAAACTTAACAAAAGAATTTTACGAACAGCCAATAAGCACAGGAAAAGGATGCTAACATCATTAGTAATCAGTGAAATGAAATCAAACCACAATGAGATACCATTTCACACCCACCAGAATGGCTAAATTTTAAAAGAATGACAATACCAAGTTTTGGTGAGAGAGAAAGCAACTGGAATTCCCATAAACTCCTGGTGGAAATGTGAAATAGTATGACCACATTGGAAAACTTTTTGGCAGTTTCTTATAAATGTACACTTATTTTATGCCTCTGAAATTCCACTCCTGGAAATTTACTCAAGAGAAATGCAAATATGTATTTATAAAAATAAATGTACAAGAAAATTCATGAAAACTATTTTTGTAATAGCCTAAAATGAAAACAACCCAAATAGCCATCAACTAGAGAATAGATATTTGTGTTGTATTCATGCAATGGAATATTAAACCCATTGCCATTGAGTCGATTCTGACTCATAGTGACCCTATAGGATAGAGTAGAACTGCCCCATAGGGTTTCCAAGGTTTTAAATCTTTATGGAAGCATACTACCACATCTTTCTCCTGCAGAGCAGTTGGTGGGTTCAAACCACCGACCTTTTAGTTAGCCGAATGCTTAACCAGTGCACCACCAGGGCTCCTTTAATGAAGTACTACACAGCAATAAAAATAGGTGAAGGAATGGGCAATTGATACATGGAAGAAAATGAATGAATCCAACAGACATATTGAGCAAAAAAAAGCCAGTCAGAAAAAAAGTACATACTGTTTGAGTCCACACATGTGAATTCAAGAACAGACAAAATCAACCTTTACTTATATAAATAAGAACAATGGTTGCTTCTGGGAGTGGAAATTGAATGGAAAAGAACATGGTGGCACTTTCTTTGGTGATAAAAATGTTCTGTATCTTGGTTTGGTTGTTGGCTGCAAGTATATGTATACGTTTATCAAAATTCATTGAACTGTACACTAAAGATCTGTGAATTTTACCATATATAAAGTATACCTCAATTTAAAAGATCCTTCTGATACGTGAAAGTTGTTAAACTGATTCTAAAATTTATACCAGAAGGCAGGACAAGAACAGCCACACAATCTTGAAACATAAGGGCAAGGTGGAGGAATAACTCTTCTGGATATTAAGACATCTTTAAAGGTACAGTAATTAAGAAAGTGTATCAGCACAAAAATAGACTAATACACCAATGGGACAGAATAGAAAGCCCAGAAATTAAATCCATGAATAAATGCATAGTTACTTTATGACAAAGATAGCTCTGCAGAGAAGTAGAGAAAGACAGTCTTTCAAAAAAAAAGAATGCTAGGGCATATCAGCAAAAATGGCAGAGAAAGGAACTTCAAAAGTTTATACATTCATAAAAGCCTGAAAAAACTGGCAGAAAATATGGTCCACGTATAGGAAAAAAGCAATCAATAGAAACTGTCCCTGAGGAAGCCCAGACATTGGACTTTGTAGGCAAAGACTTTAAATCAGTTATTTTAAATAGGTTCAGAAAACTAAATGAAACCTAAAGAACTAAAGGAAACCATGAGAATTACATCTCACAAAATAGAGAATATCAATACATAGAAATTATAAAGAAGAATAAAATAGAAAATCTGGAACTTAAAAGTACAATAACTGAAATAAAAAGTTGACTAGAGGGGCTCAACAGCAAATTTTGGCAGGCAGAAGAATTACTCAGTAAACTTGAAGATACGTCAATTGAGATTATCTAGTCTGAGGAATAGAAAAGAACAAAGAATGAAGAAAAATTAACAGAGTCTAAGAGATCTGTGGGGTACGATCAAGTATTCCAACATATACATAATATGAGTCCCAGAAAAAGAGGACAGAGAGAAAGCAGAAATGGTATTTGAATAAATAATAGCCAAAAAACTCCCAAAATTTAATGAACAACACAAATATACACATTTAAGAAGCTCAACAAACTGCAAGTAGGATAAACTCAAAGAGATCCACACCAATACCTATCATAATCAAGCTATCAAAAGCCAAAGACAGAATCTTGAAAGCAGCAAGAGAGAAGTGAATTGTCACAGACAAGCGTTCTTCAATAAGATTAACACCTGATTTTTCATCAGAAACTACTGAGACCAGAAGGTAGATGGATGACATATTCATAGTTCTGAAAGGGAAAACAAAAATGAAAACCTGTCAACCAAGAATTATATATCCAGGAAAACTATCTTTTAAAAATTAAGGAGAAATTAAGACATTACCAGAAAAACAAAAACTGAGAGAGTTCATCTCTAGCAAACCTGCTGTATAAGAAATCCTAAATGGAGTCCTTCAGTCTGAAATGAAAGGACACTAGACATTTAGTTGAATCCACATAAAGAAATAAAAAATACCAGTAAAGGTAACTAAAAAGTAAATATAAAAGAAGTGTTAATTGTAATCCTCAGAGGGGTGACCTCTAAGAAAATAACTAAAAAAATACAGTTTAAAAAGTTAAGGGAATTAAAATGTTACACTAGAAAATATCCATTTAACACAAAAGAAAGCAGAATAGAGAACTGAGGAACAAAACAACATATGACATAAAAAAACAATAAAATGGCAGAAATAAGTCCTTTCTTATAAGTAATTACATTAAATGTAAATGGATTAAACTCTCCAGTTAAAAGGTACAGTTCCGCAGAATGAATAAAAAAAAAAATTGATCCACCTATATGTTGTTTAAAAGAGACTCTAGATTCAAAGACAGTGATAGGTTGACAGTGAAGGATGGAAAAAATATTTCATGCAAAGAGTAATCAAAAGAGAGCTAGTTGTGACCCTAATAATGTCATTCAAAATACACTTTAAGACAAAAACTGGGTTATAGGAGTCAAAGAAGGAATGTAAAATGGTGCAGCAATGGATTAATTTTGTGCTGGAGTCCCTGGGTGATGCAAATCAAGAAGCACTCGGCTACTAACCAAAAGGCTGGTGGTTTATATCCACCCACAGGCACCTCAGAAGAAAGGCCTGGTGAACCCCTCCTAAAAGATGACAGCCATTGAAAGCCCTGTGGAGCACAATTTACTCTGAAACACACAGGGTCACCATGAGACAGAATCAGCTCCATAGCAACTGGTAATTTTGTGTTTCGCTTTCTGGTTTTCAATGTGAATTGGAAAAATTGAAGTTTGAGGTTCCTGAGTGGCTGGGTTGAATGTAAGGGGAGTCGGGTAGTAGGATAGAGCCAGGAGTCCAAGTCTAAAGGTGGATAGCAGTGCAAGGTAAACCCATTGCCATCGAGTCGATTCAGACTCATAGTGACCCTATAGGACAGAGTAGAACTGCCCCATAGGGTTTCAAAGAGCCGCTGGTGGATTCCAACTGCTGGCCTTTTGATTAGCAGCCCTGCGCTTAACCACTGCACCACCAGGGCAGTGCAAGGTAGGTTATGTCATATTATAATAACTAGAGGAAAAATGTCTATAGATATAGTCTCTCTTTAGAGAAATAGTCTACTTTCTGGAAAAGTTGGGGGTTTGGTTATTGGGGAAAAGTATACTGACTTTGTTAATAAATTTAAAAAATAAATTGTTCCAGCTGGAAAAAAAGGAGAAGTATAGTGGTTTGGCTCACTGTAATGTTCTCTGGTGAAGACGAGGTGGAAGCAACTTTTTTCATGTTTATATGCTAAGGCGTATTTTTTTAAACATGGCAAATTGATTTAATTAATGAATAGTTCTATGCTAAATAAAGCCAAGATTTGCTATGTTCTTTTCTAAATGTTCTGGCTTGATTTATTTTTACACTTGCCTTTCACCTTGCCTTTATCTCTGTATTCTGTGTTTCAGGGAGTATTCAAATACTGCAGAGTGAATATACTTGTCATGGATTACCACTTCCTGGACACAATGATGATCCTCATGCTGTATGGCTTCTCTGCCATCCCCCTCGTGTACCTGATGAGTTTTCTGTTTTCTAAAAGTACCACTGCCTACATCAAGCTTGTCCTATTCAACTACTTTTCAGGCATTTTCAGTCACTACATAGACTTCACAGTACGGTACAGCATGGGTAAGCAATTCACAAAATGTCCTCTTCCCCTGAAGGCAGCAGTAGAAACGAGGAGTGGGCTTGCAGGTATCTAAGAACATTAGTAGACAATTAAATTCTAGGTTTTGGGGGAAACCTTGTACTTGATGTCAATCAATAAACATATTTTGTGTGCCTGTGACATTCTAGGCATTGTGCTAGGGCTAGGATCCTTGTATTGAAGACATGGGACTGAACCTGATCTCCAAGTCCTTCAACATGATTCCTCCTCCCTATAACCATCTCCTAAAGCTCTATCACATGATGTAAATCTGTTTTGTACTTGATTATGGAAATTTTAGGAGTCTTTCTCCCTGAGACTCATTTGCCTGAGAGAGAAGAGACAGAGAATATAGCTTTCTTCTTAGAAGGAGCAGGCCTTAGAAAGAAGAAATTATATCCCCAATATATTAGACTGTCATTGTCTTTAAAACTGTTAACTATTGATATTGTAGCCCTTTAGAGTGAGGTGAAAAGGGGGGAGTGTGCAGAGGAATCTTAAGCTCTTGGGAGTGGCAAACAGTTCTGTTCTGGGAAGGTTTCACAGGTGACTCCTCCTTCCTAATTAAAAAAGCAGCAGAAGATCCTGAACCTCCTAACAAGATTTTTCAGAAAGAAGGAAAACTACATAGACACCTAACATGCTGTCTTAGTCATCCAGTGCTGCTGTAACAGAAATACCACAGGTGGATGGCTTTAACAGAAATTTATTCTCTCACAGTCTAGGAGGCTAGAAGTCCAAATTCATGGCGCCAGCTCCAGGGGAAGCCTTTCTCTCTCTTTTGGCTCTGGGGGGAGGTCCTTGTCATCAGTCTTCCCCTGGGTCTAGGAGCTTCTCAGTGTAGGGACCCTGGTCCAAATGATGTGCTCCTCTCACGGCTCTTCTTTTTTGGTGGTAGTAGGTCCCCCTCTCTCTGCCTGCTTCTCTCTCCTTTTATCTCTTTTAAGATAAAATGTGATGCAGGACATACCCCAGGGAAACTCCCCTTACATTGGATCAGGGCTGTGACCTGAGTAAGGTTGTTTCATCTCACCCTAATCCTCTTTAACATGACCTAATCCTGCCTCATTAACCACAGGCAGAGATTGGGATTTACAATACATAGGACAATTACATCAGATCAAAAAATGGGAATCATTCCCTAGCCAAGTTGGCACATATTTTGGGACCTAGTTTCTGCAGGATCTGTAAACTATGTATCTCCTCATTTTCCTCCTCTGATTATGGTATTTGGGGAGAGAATCACTCAGTTGACCATTATTACGAAGAGCATTTTTAAAAGAGAGACTATTGTCAGTTCTTTGTTGACTCGCCCTATGAACACACGTTTGAACTGTGTTAAGCAATTCTTCCCCGCCTGTTGTTGCAGAACTCCACAAGCACAGGCTTCCTGCTCCATTTCCTTAGTTCTTTACCTATCATAAAAATAATTCCCCTACGTTAACTGAAGATGAGCTTATACAGTCCTTTGCATACTTCTTCAAGGATGCATTTTTCATGCAAGCAAAACTTGAGCTCCCTTACAGCAGGCTAAAGTACTTGTAAGAGCTATGCCTTAGTGCTCATTCCCACAAAAGAACCCCCCAAATTATGGAAAGCAAGGTTCTATATATTTTTTGCATACCTCTCCAAAGGGAAATACTGTGTTATGTGAGGACTACTCACCTGCAAGCATTTGAGTTTGTGAACCCTGACTTAGAATGAAATACTGGGGAATTATCATTTAAGGGACTGCAGAAGGAAGTTGAGGCAGAATGAGAGAGATTACTATTTTAGAAGGTTTAAAATACATATTTGGGAGGAGTATCTTGCAAAAAGTCACATAAATGTGAGAACAAAAGAGAAGCCAGTAGATTTGGCAATTAGAAAGTCAAAAGAAACTTCCACTTTTCAGCAGCATAGCAAACACCTTGAATTATACTCTGCCAAAAATAATGAGCTGAGAAGAAAGTATGGAATTGGCAGAGGCCAACAATAAAGTGAAAACAAGTGTCCTGGGAGGTAAACAAGCATTAGAGGTAGCCTTTGACCTGACATTATTGACAGCATATGGTGACCTTAATCTTCCATTTTTGTAAGTTGTGAGGAACACAGAGGTCAGGATAATAACCACAGAAGTCCAGGAAGACATATCATGTGGACACTCTTCACCAAAAAAAAGCTTTTCAGACTCTTCAGTTATCTACAAACACACTGTCACTGGCTATCAACTGGAACAAACTCCATGGGAAGTAATTAGTCTTCTTCAAAGATAATTATCTGGTTTTTAATTCCCTGAGCTTGGATTGACCATCTTTAGGGGTTTGTTGACCTAGTGATGGTTCATTTCCTATAATGAAACCTGATGGTTCATTTTCTATATTGAAACCTAATCTTATCATCTTTTTAGAATTTGAAAATTTAATGTCAACTGACACCAAAAACTTCATACTTAATGCATTATTGCTGTTTCCCAATTACAACCTTGCGAAGTGCCTCAGTGAATATTTTACTTTCTACCAGAAGAACCTACCCTGTGACACCTCAAAACACCCTTCTTCCAACTTCAGTTGTAATAAAGAAAGTAAGTATATTGTGGGTCCCTAAGTCTTTTGGGAATTAGCCTTAGACTCAAACCCTCAAAGACGAAATATAGAATAAGAGCTACTAATAATCATCCACCAAGTTGCTTTACTTACATTATTTAAAATCTTCACAACTCTTCAAGTTATCTGCTGTAATGCTCATTTTGAGGATAAGATGTGCCCTGTATCACACAGCTTGTATGGGTCAGAACTGGAATTCAAAGCTTATATTCTTTCATTATATAATGTATTTCCCCTTGGGAAAGAATCTCTTAAGGGTCTATATTGTAACTGTATTTTATTTACTTTTGTTACTCCCACCACCACCACCACACATAATCACTCACACTCACCTGCCCACAAGTTATAATCCATTCCTCCAGTGCTAGTGTAGTACCTGGCACATAGGACGGACTCAAATCTTCCTTGAATAAATAGGTAAAGGTAGGAAGTAGTGATTTGGGTGATGAAGAGTAGTACAATGGATAAAATGAAAGTAAGAGAAAGAAGTCTAGCCAAGGTGGCAGGTAATAACTGTTAAAAAAAAGATACAGTCCAACTCTGAAGTAAGCTAAATATATTATGCATTTGAGTAATTGGTGGAGTATAAGGAAGAAACCATTTGAACACTCAGTTTTTGGTGGCATGAATGTAACATTGGCTCTGTAGGGAACACTATTTGCATAGTCTTAATAATTTAAATGCTATGTATTTTTTGGTTTTCATCTTTAGGTATCGATTTATAGACAAAAGATTTGCTATCAAAAATGAATTGTTATCATTCTTAACAATGTAAAAGTAAAAATATAGCTAGCAAGAGTTGAGGGTTAAAAGAGACAAGAGAAATAGAAGAAAAGTAAAAAAAAAAAAAAAAAACTAAGTCATCATCTTAGAATGAGAGGAGTTAAGAGATATTCTGTATGGTTGACGGATGATAAGAGGTTTAAGATAAATGTAAGGAAAGGAAATAAAAAAGCAATGTAACTATATAGGAGAGGAACAAGAGTATAAAAGAGAGAAAAAAGAGTATAAAAGAGTTTATGCCTTCAACTATCAATGCTGGAAAACAATAGATAATATATTACATTGATAAATAAAGGAACCCTAAAAACCAAATCCACTGCCGTTGAGTTGATTCCAACTCAGCAACCCCATACGGTTTCTTTGGCTGTAAATCTCTACAGAAGCAGACTGACGCATCTTTCTCCCGTGGAGCCATTGGTGGTTTTGAACCAAAGACCTTTCAATTAGCAGCCCAGTGCTTTAACCACTGTGCCACCAGGGCTCCCAAATAAAGGAATAGCAATATAAAATATTACGGCAAAAATGTAAAAACAATAGTTATCATAAGTTTTAGTGATGCTACTAAGATGTTTTATGCTACACTGAATCTGATTCCTTTAAATATGGATTGTTATGTTTTTCAGGGAATTATTCCTGATATTATGAAACTTCATAATTAACTACCTAGTAGAGCACTAAGGATTTTGTTGTAAATCCAGTTCCTATTCCTAACTAGGTAGCTACTTTATTTCCTCTGAAATCTTCCAAGAGTTTCCCTTTATCCTTGGTGTTATAAAATTTTACCATAAGGAATTCATAATGCTTAACATTTGGTATCCTTTCACCATACTTATTCAGTCTGTGTGCGAGCAAATAATCCGAGAAGCTGGACTATATGAAAAAGAATGGGGCATCAGGATTGGAGGAAGACTCATTAACAACCTGCGATATAGAGATGACACAAGCTTGCTTGATGAAAGCAGAGAGGACTTAAAGCACTTACTGATGGAGATCAAAGATTACAGCCTTCAGTATGGATTACACCTGAACATAAAGAAAAAAAAAATCCTCACAACTGGACCAATAAGCAACGTCATGATAAATGGAGAAAACATGGAAGTTGTCAAGGATTTCATTTTATTTGGATCCATAATCAACACCCATGGAAGCAGTAATCAGGAAATCAAATGATGCATTGCATTGGGCAAATCTGCTGCAGAAGACCTCTTTAAAGCATTAAAAAGCAAAGATGTCATTTTGAGGACTAAGGTGCGCCTGACCCAAGCCATGATATTTTCAGTCGCCCCATATGCCTGCAGATGCTGGACAATGAATAAGAAAGCCCGAAGAATTGACGCCTTTGAATTACGGTTCTGGTGAAGAATACTGAATGTACCGTGGACTGCCAGAAGAATGAACAAATCTGTCTTGGAAGAAGTACACTCAGAATGCTCCTTAGAAGCAGGGATGGTGAGACTTCATCTGATGTACTTTGGACATATTATCAGGAGGGACCAGTCCCTGAAGAAGGACATCATGCTTGGTAAAGTAGAGGGTCAGCGAAAAAGAGGAAGACCCGCAATGAGATGGATTGACACAGTGGCTGCAACAGTGGGC